TTCTAATCTTTCAGCAGGCCCCCGGGAAGATTAGGACCACATATACACCAAAGGACGGCTGGGGGCTGTTCTACTTGAGAACTCTGAACACATTCTTAGCCGTATCATTCTTCCCTTCTGCGACTTGGTAGCACCGATGGTTGTGTCGGCTGAAGACCTCGTTCCCTATCTGACAAAGATCCTCCATGAAAGCTGACATTAAAATATAGTCCTTAGCAGCCAGATTGCTAACCAAGGATGGACACAAAGATCACACAACCTCCCTGCTACAACAACTCCACTGGTTGCCGTTTCATTCCTGGGCAGAATTCGAAGTGATGGTTCCACCCTATAAACATCTAGGACCCAAGCTATCTCAGAGACTGGGCTGGCCCCATCTTATTGTCCTTCCCCAAGCAGGTGAAGACCTTTCTTTTCAGGCTAGCTTTCCCTGGGTGACTGACTAGCTGGCTGAATGAGGTTTTTTTTTTAATGAATGATTGTACCTTATTGCATTGAATGTGTTTTGCTGTTGCTTCTGTGTTTTGGTATTGTATTCATTGATCCTTTTAGTATTGTATCCTCATTACTAAAATACTGTCTTTTAATTTTTTTTAATTTGATTTGGTTTTACTAATACAATAAAGACATACTGAGCGAAAAAAGGAAGAAACAAAAATACAAAAAAGAAGGAGGAGGAGGAAAGAGGGGTTGGGAACAAGAAAAGGGCTTCATGAGGGTTGTCCAATTTTATGGTTTCTTCTCTCTATGACACCTTGGATCTTCCCATGCATTTCTCCATCCTTCTTCGAATTGCCTCTTCGTGACCCCCTGGACCAGAGCACGCCAGGCCCTCCTGTCTTCCACTGTCTCCCGGAGTTGGGTCAAATTCATGTTGGTTGCTTCGATGACACTGTCCAACCATCTCGTCCTCTGTCATCCCCCTTCGCCTCTTGCCTTCACACTTTCCCAACATCAGGGTATGTCCCAGGGAGTCTTCTTCTCATGAGATGACCAAAGTATTGGAGCCTCAGCTTCAGGATCTGTCCTTCCAGGGACCACTCAGGGTTGATTTCCTTCAGAATGGATAGGTTTTTTCTCCTTGCAGTCCAGGGGACTCTCAACAGCCTCCTCCAGCACCACAATTCAAAAGCATCCATTCTTTGGCGGTCAGCCTTCTTTATGGTCCAAGCATATAATGTCAAGCAAGCATATGATGTCATATTTCTGTTTCCTCAAGTAGTGAAATATTGCCTTTCATTTTATTGGAGAATTTCAGTCCACTAATATTCCACAAGGGGAAGTCCTATGCCACTATGTTTGTAAAGTAGAGAAATCCAGACTCGTTTCCTTCTACTCTGCCTTATCTGATTCCACTTTTTCTCCCCACTTTAGGGTTTGATCTTTTCCTTTGAGTATTCTCAAAAAGTCCTTAGCCTCTGGCGTTGTAGTGACCCTGTAGTTCCTCTGCTGATATTTGAAACTGACTCTTCCAGGCTTTCCCATTAGTAGAGGATGATATTCTCTTTCAGCATTGGAACGAGGAAAGCATAATCCTTTCTCCTTTTTTGAGAAATCCTGAGTTATATTTCTTTCAGAAGGATGGCTTCTCGATTGTAAGATGTGTGAATTCACTGTCCGAATGTCGTTGCAAGACCATGTTTCTTATTTTCTTCCTCACGAAGGGTACAAGAATATTCCCTGAAGGTTCACGAGTCTTTTAAAATCGTGATGTGACTATATTCAGCGCCTATCTCAAAATCCATCCATTCCTGATCCAACTGTAAAAATTTTGCTGGTTCTGAAACCATTCTTGCTCAAGCTTATCCTTTTGGCTATTCTATATTTCTAAATTTCAGAAAGTGTTCTTTAGACTTCAGTTCTAAAAAATCAAATCCGTTCAGATGAATATTGAAGCCATTTACCCATCCTTTCTCCTTCAGCTTCCTTGCACATTCAAATTTTGCTGTTTTGCTTGTTCAGTTGTTTCTTGCATAGCTGTTATATTGCCAGCTTGCCCAATCTCCAAGTTTTTAAGTTGGCTTTACAAGGACCCAGATTTCTTATCTAGCCGCTTCTCAATGTTGGTTAGCAAGAGTTCTATATCTAACTGGAGGCTGGACCAGAGATTTATGCGACTTTTTGACTTACTCCTCGAAGTCACCATCTTCAGTTGTAGTTTCGAAGTTTAAAGTAAACAGTTTGGAGACAGTAATTCAGAAAGCCCTTAAATTGCTCTTTTAGGGAGGTGCCTTTCCTCAAAAGTCCGTAAGATGTCAGTCTTGTGCTGAGTTCACACAAAAATTGCTGAGGTGCCCAGAACGAGTTAATTTATTTTTGCATTCCTCCAGTCTCTCCCCCAACCTTAATGATTTTTCTTTAGTGGCGTCTTTACCCAATACTTTCTCACTCCTAGATTACGTGGCTCCTTGCCTTCTCCTTTCGTCTCTCCACCTCTTTTGCCACTTTAGAAGTGAATGACTTTCTGGTAAGTGATGTTCGCCCTTATTTTATTCCTTCGTGCCTCTTCGCTTTTATTCTCAATAGTCTCTCCTCTAGGGCTCCCACGAGGGTTCTCCCCATGGGAGATATTTTTGCATTCTTCCTGTCTCTCCCCCAACCTTAATGATTTTTCTTTAGTGGCGTCTTTACCCAATACTTTCTCACTCCTAGATTACGTGGCTCCTTGCCTTCTCCTTTCGCCTCTCCACCTCTTTTGCCACTTTAGAAGTGAATGACTTTCTGGTAAGTGATGTTCGCCCTTATTTTATTCCTTCGTGCCTCTTCGCTTTTATTCTCAATAGTCTCTCCTCTAGGGCTCCCACGAGGGTTCTCCCCATGGGAGATGGGGAGAGGGAAGATTTCCGACTCCTTGAGGCTCAAATAACGCTGTTGAAGCAGCTTCGCAGCACCATCTTTTCCGGACATCTCCTGAAATACTGCCTTTTAATTCTTATTGATTGATTTGTTTGTTTGTTTGCTTATTTACTTGCTTGCTTGTTTACTTGTTTGCTTGCTTGCTTGTTTACTTGTTTGCTTGCTTGCTCGTTTACTTGCCTGCTTGCTTGCTTGATTACTTGTTTGCTTGCTTGCTTGTTTGCTTGCTTGTTTACTTGTTTGCTTGTTTGCTTTATTACTTGTTTGCTCGCTCACTCGCTGGCTTGCTTACTTACTTGCTTGCTTCTTTGTTTGCTTGCTTGCTTGTTTGCTTGCTTACTTGTTTGCTTTATTACTTGTTTACTCGCTCACTCGCTTGCTTACTTGCTTGCTTCTTTGCTTGCTTGCTTGCTTGTTTTTACCCCACCTTTCTGCTTGAAAAGGTGGCTTACGACAATAAAAACAATGTTGAAAGTTAAAAACAATGTATACAACAGTAGCTAAGAGCATTAAAAGAGACTATTTAAAACTCCAAACAATGTAACACTAACAGGCAATATTAAGGCAAAGATTAATAAGTATACAAAAAAGAAAAGCCAAACTTAACTATCCCACACACTACACCAGAACACAAACAGAGTTCTAACTCCTGTCCTCTGAAGATGCCCATGGCCACAGAGACTGGTGAAACATTAGGAAGAAAAACCTCCAGAACACGGCCAAAGACCCCGAAAAAACCCACAACAACCATGCTACAATATTGTTTTGCTTTTCTTTTGTTTTGCATTTCTTGTTAAAATGCTCACCAGACTAACATGACAACAACTCTGGAAACAGAATCTAAGAGATCTAAAAGGAAGTTATAAATGGAGGACACCGGCCATAAAAGCACAAATAAAGTTCAGTGTGTATGAGTGTGAAGGGACACACAACAGAGGCAAAACAAAGAAAGACAATTGAATCCTTTTTCTATACCCAAACAGGATCCGAGCCAGCAGTAGTTGGCCAAGAAAGGGATTGCTGGCTTATCTCCCTGCCTGACTGATGGTGGAGGACGTGTTCCGGTAGAGAACTGAACTTTTGCCAGTTTGAACATAGGGGCTGTGCCAAAGATCGAAAACACTGGTGTCAGGTTGCACTCTTTGAACAGATGATGATTGGACTCTGTTCTTAGTAAACTGGCAGTTGTTGACTTTAAATAGTGCTCGGCAGGGAGGCTCCGTGAGTCGCCTTCTTTCCTCTGGTGCAGAGAGGAGCTTGTGTTGCGATGGATCTTTTGGGGGGAACCACAATCCTCTTGATCATCTGCCTGACCCTCTTGGTGACATGGAAGATGTCTGCGGCCAAGAAGAAGAACTTGCCTCCAGGCCCAACACCTCTTCCGTTCCTTGGGAACCTCCTCCAGGTGATCTCAAGTAATCTCCCCGAACGCCTGAGGAAGGTAAGGAAAGGACCTCAGCTGTACTCTTTCTGCTCCCCCACGAGAAAGGTTTGAGGACGTTGCTTTTCTTTAAACCAGGGGTCTCCAAACTTTTCAGTAGGAGGGCCACATCATATATTTTACACCTTTTCGAGGTCCAAAGGAGTGGGGGGGGAAACAGTTTTTTTTTTCAGACTACAACATCAGAATCTCCCAAAGGGCATGAGATGTGGCCATGCCGGCTGCAGGATTTGAGATATTGTAGTTTTCAAAAGAGGACTTTTCAGAGTTCTGCTGCCTGGCACAGTGTCCATGGGTGCATTCAAAGGCTGTTTACAAGCAAATACTGGCTCTGCCAGACAGCAGAACTCTGAAAAGTCGTCTTTTGAAAGGCCAGGGAGGACCCATTGCGACATTCTTCATGTTCCATTTGTTTCCCCGTATTCCATGCATGCTGGCTTTCAATTGCTATACAGTAGGACCACCGTATTCACTTATCCACTGCCTGAAAATATTAACACCCCCCACCACAAAGCACACGTTTCTAAAATGTATTACCAGAAAGAGCCACTAGAAAGAACCAGGAACAATACAGTATTGAGTGTTTTTATATCCACTATTTCCAGGATGGGGGTGGTGGTGGCTTGAAACCTTATCCCTGCAGATACCATGGTCCGACTGGTTTCTATCTCCCTGCCTGCCCTTTGGGCTTTTCTTTTTTTGTTGTTGTAAAAATAGGTTGAATACTTTGCAATGCGGAAAAAAATTGACAAGGAATCTCTCCTATCCCTTTTCTGTCCGTTTTCCCCCCTCACGCTTCCCGTCTACTTCTTCAAGTTTTTTGAGAACTTCACAGCATTGTTACCCCAAAACGCATTTGTCTGCTTAAGTAAACCTGGACCCATGATAACCAAAGTTAATCTTTTTTCCCCCTCCTGCTCATTTCAATTAAACGGCCCTTGGTCTCAACTTCAATAAAGTATTAAAATCAGGCTGCCGTACGTCCCAAAGGCGGCTGTGAGAGGGTTGAAGCCAGACCCACTCGGGACAAGCCTTTCTCTTCCCTCTTCATTGCAGCTGCTTACCTTCCACTTCACGTCTTCCACAAGAGCCCTCTTTCCACCCATTCCATCCAGAAGCCATTTCTTTCTGTTGAAGGCACATGGAGGCACCGGTCGCTTTCTACCCCTACCCCTACCTGGTGCCTGCCATCTACCATCATTCATGTCCGGCAGCCCAGGGACGACAGGAGTCCCCTTTTCGCATGAACTTCTGCCTCCTCGGCTTCGCAGCCCTTGTCATTTCTATCAAGGTAAATGCCCCCCCCCCATACATACATACACACCCAAACCAGAGGAAAGCCCTACTTCTTAAGGCTTAGCTTCCCTCTGTGCCAACGCTGGTTGCAATGAGGATGGTTTCTTAATAATTAAAGTATTTTAGGATGGCTTCCAGCTCTGCACGCTTCTGGTCCATGGGGTCACAAAGAGTCGGACATGACCTAATGACTAAACAACAACAATAGTATTAACCTGAGACGTGCAAAGCTGGAAGGGATCCTAAAATTAGGGAAGTTGGGGAAGTGGGGACGGGGTGGGAAAGGTCCTAGAATTTGGACCGAGCCGGATAAAAAGGTAAGACAGGCCAGATGTGGCCCCAGGGCCCATAGTTTGGAGACCCCTGATTTAAACCCTCAATCATCAGGGCTGAAAAATGGCATGTTTTCTAGAATTTTGCCTGTGATCTGAACTTCAATGTGTTTTCGGAATAAACAAGTTTGCCAGGAGGACATTTTTCAAAAGGAACGATCATCAGAAACCATAGCATAGGTGGCTCAAAAACATTTGCTCATCACTCCATCTAGAGAGAGACAGGATTGACTGAAACATGGCCATGTGAGTGAATGAGTTGATGCCCACTGCAAGCAGAAGATTTCTGGGTACTGTACTTTCTGAGCACACCAGATCTCCTTTCTTGTTTTTCTGATTTTCTTCTTGGTATCACTAGTATAGAGGTGGAACCGCAAGTCATGTATTTTTAAAGGGGTCTAATTACACATTAAACTTAACCTGCCTCCAGTCGTCCTCTTTTCCAACCAGAGACAGAATTTTCTCAGAGAGCAGACCTGCTAATTAAGTCCATGTTCACCTCCCTGAGACCAATCACAAAGGAAAAGACCCTTACGGCAGGGAAACATCTGCTGTCTTAGAGGTGGAAGGGGCAACCGGGTAGAAGAGGGATCTCTGGATTGGACCAGACATGTGGAAAGAGCAGGTTCACGAAAGTTCCTGGCGTTGGTGTTGCTCAGTTGGAGGCAGGGAGGTTCGTGGGAGTGCCTGGGAGTCAGGCAAGTTGCAGGAGGTCAAGAGAGGTGGTGGAAGGAAGCCAGGCCTTGCAAAGGGTGGAGTAAGCCACGTGCCGTGGGACTTTGGAGACAAAGGCAAAAAGGCAGGAAGACAGAGAGAGACGAGGCAGAGACTTTTTTTCTTCAGCTTTTCTTCTGAATTCTGCAACACAAAGTTTGCGCCCCACCCGGTCTTGATGTTCTCCTGCCTGCTACAGGCTGCAGGATGCACTCTTGACCTACTCTTCTGCGCTGGGCAGGATGATGATGATCTGAGTGTGGAGGAACTCTCTGTTGTTTTCTTTCCTCTTTGCAGTGGGATAGGATCCCAGCATGCCTAAAGGAGGCAGGAATAAGATTATTAATCAGGAAGTCCCTCTGGACCCCCTTTAATGGAGAACTAATGGCCAGTCTCAAATATTGCCTTTCTAGGCAAGGTCCTGGAGTGTGTGGTGGTTTCTCAGCTCCAAGATTTCTGGGATGAACCAGATTCTCTAGACCCATTTCAATCTGGCGTCAGACCCAGTTCTGGGATGGGGACCACTTTGGTCAACTTGGTTCTCACTGGGACAATGGTGGCTTACAAAGGACACGAAATAAACAAAACAAATACCATTTCTTTCCAGATGAGTGACATCTATGGGCCCATATTCACGCTGTATTTTGGCTCGGAACGGGTTGTGATCGCCTATGGTTATGAACCTGTGAAGAAGGTTCTCATCGACAACGGGGATGACTTTCTCGACCGAGGCCGCATGCCGTCCACAGATAAGGCAGGCAACAACCTCGGTATGATTCATATTAAAAAACAAGACACATGTAGCCTATGGCTGCCTAAGCCCAAGGTGGCAAAGGATAGAGAGAACCTAGGTCTTCAATATATTCGCGAAGGCTTTCACAGTCGGGATCTAATGGTTGTTGTGGGTTTTTCGGGCTCTTTGTCCGTGTTCTGAAGGTTGTTCTTCCTAATGTTTCGCCCGTTTCTGTGGCCGGCATCTTCAGAGGACAGGAGTAGGAACTCTGTCCGTGCTCTGGAAGATGCCGGCCACAGAGACTGGCGAAACGTCAGGAAGAACAACCTTCAGAACACGGCCAAAGAGCCCGAAAAACCCACAACAACCAGAACCTAGGTCCTTGTGTTGTTTTCACCTGACAACGTTAAGTCATTTTCCACACCTGTGGCCGTGGCTTTCTACAAATTCTCTCCTGCTCTTAAATCCACTGAAATTGCACCTGCTTCCACGTCACATTAATGCTTCTGTTACTCAGTCTGCCACCCTGTACGTATAACACAAGGTGTGTAGCGGGCATTCACCTCCATTTAGAGCAGTCATTCCCAGATGTTCTTGGACCGCAGCTCCCATGAAACCCCAGCCAGCATTGCAAGGGGCGGAGGCTTCTGGGAGTTGCAGTTTAAGAACATCCAGTTTATCCAAGGTTGGGAGTCCCTGCCTTAGAAACCCACGTTTATTGCATATTATTACAGTTCAGAATGTTGATTGCTATCTGTAGCGAGAGAAGCTCAGTCTATGTTCTCCACTACCTGCCTGCTTTCTTCAGGTGTTCTCGTGTCCAATGGGCAGCGCTGGCAGCAGATCCGTCGATTCTCCCTCATGACCATGAGGAATTTTGGAATGGGGAAGAAAAGCATCGAGGAACACATCCAGGAGGAGGCAGAGTACCTGATGAAGGCCCTCCGAGCCACAAAAGGTGCAGGATTCTCCCCCTTCTCCTCCTCCTCCTCCTCCTCCTTCCTTTTTCTTTTCTATTGTCCAACAAATCTTTTGTTTTAACACTCCATTCTCTTTCCTTTCTTTTGGGGACTTTATCTAACTTCCACCTACTTCTAAGAGCCGATACGCACCTCAAATTTTTTCCTGTTGATGACCAGGGCTCCGGTCCCGGTCACATGAGAGACTTTTTCTCTAGTTTCCCCCTACTTAGTTTGTCACGTTCCCAGGGGATTCAGCAGGCGAACGTCCGGTAAGCCAGTCCAAGGTCAGAAGTCCAGGAGAGACAAAACAGATGACGAATTGTCAAAGACAAAACACAAACCTTACTCCAAAGTCAGAGTCCAAAAGCCAAGGGTCAGGAGAGCAAGATTCAGGTGGTTCAAGATAAGCAGGAGTGTGGCCACGAGCCAGGGAATTGACTTGTTGCTTCCACGAGCTTCCAAACCTCTGAGTACAAGTTATATAGCAGCAACAATCATCTAATTCCTAGAAACATTCCATCCTGTCAAAACTCTGGGCTGGTCGACCTGATGTTCCTGTGAGAAGCATTCATGGGAGCCTCAGATCTCCCTGCTGTGAGTCTCTGCCGAAGCTTATCTCTCATTCTGGCTAGTGGGGGAGGAGAATCTGGCGGTGATTCAGCTGTCTGTGATACTAACTGCCCAGCATTTTCCTCAGCTGTAATTAACCCCTCTGATTCCAAGTCTTCTTCGGCTGAGCTTATGACACCCAGCTTCTTTGCAGAATCAAAGCCTTTCTCCTCAAAAAAGATCCAGCTTATGTCATTTTTTGTGACTGATACATCAATACATTGCGGCTGAGCTTATGACACCCAGCTTCTTTGCAGAATCAAAGCCTTTCTCCTCAAAAAAGATCCAGCTTATGTCATTTTTTGTGACTGATACATCAATACATTGATAAAGGTATGTCACGGGGGGGGCAGAAGGGACGTGGGGCGGTTACGGGTTAAACTGCAGAAGCCTCTGTGCTGCGAGGTCAGAAGACCAAGCAGTTGTAAGATCGAATCCACACGACAGAATGAGCTCTCATTGCTTGTCCGAGCTCCTGCCAACCTAGCCATTTGAAAGCATGCAAATGTGAGTAGATAAATAGGTACCACCTCAGTGGGAAGGTCATGGCGTTCCATGTCTAGTGGCTCTGACCACGTGACCACGGAAACTGTCTTCGGACAAAACGCTGGATCTATGGCTTGGAAACGGAGATGAGCACCGCACCCTAGAGTCGTACACAACTGGACTAAATGTCAAGGGCTCCCTCCGTCACATGGATTTGATCTTATGATGGCTGGTCTTCTGACCCTGCAGCACAGAGGCTTCTGCGGTTTAACCTGCAGCATCACCACATCCCTTGTAATAATTTAAATAGGACAAAATAAATTAGTACTATTAACTGTATAGAAAATATGATGCCAGTCTGGTCCCTTGTGGGAGGGAGTTCCAGTGTCTGGGAGCAGCCACAGAGAAGGTCCTCACCCATGTCCCCAACAAACACACCTGTGAAGGTGGCACAACAGAAATGAAAGCCTCCCCTGATGATCTTGGCCAGTGTAGATCAGTAAGAAGCTTCTGGCCATAAATACTGTCTCTTAAAAGAATATGATGAATGAAGATTCACCCAAATATTCCATCATTGTTTTGCTTTCCTTGCCAGGTCGGCCCTTCAACCCAATCACCCTTTTCAGCAGCGCTACCTGCAACATCATCAGCCACATCCTCTTTGCAGACCGGTTCGATTATCAAGATGAGGACTATATCCGGATGCTGAAGCTTCTCTCAGAAGCCTTTGTTCTAGACAACTCCTATGCAGGACAGGTAAGGAAGACAGAAGGTGTAAGAGAAAAGGAGAACATGTTGAGAGTTGCAGATGGGGTGTAAAGGGAGGCATTGTTGGACTGTTGGATCACATTCCTGTGGATCAACACGGTAGAAAGACAGAAAGCCCACGTCCAGAAAGCCTCATTGTATGTTACTCAAAACAGGCCCTACAGTCTTAACAGTAGCTAACTGGACACTTCTTCTGAGCTCCGAGATTTGTGTCCAGCCAGTCTAGTGTGGTCTACTCTGAGAGATTGCACCAGAAAGTGTAATATCTCTCAAACAACCTCCTGCTAGGAAGGGGGGGGGGCAGAGGGATGCCTCATAAAACCCTTTCCTGGATTAAGTCATGAGGGACATTTTGCAAGAAATTTCTGGTTGGAAGAAGCTTTCCTCTGGGGTTGCTTCAGATCATCTGCACCCTTGTCTGATCGACCACGTTCAGCCCAAAAAGAGGTAACAAAATGCTGAAGGTGATCTATCAGCCCAATTTCAAAGCCCTGCCCTGTAAAGCTTAATGGGGTTGAAACTCACCAAAACATTTTCCAGGTCATTCACCTCTTGACTGCATTCTCTCTGTGTTTCTGTCTTTCTATCTCTTTTCTTCAGCTCTATTATTTTATCCCCGAGCTCATGGACTTCTTGCCTGGTCCCCATAAAACTCTTTTCAAAAAATGGAGTCACGTAGAGGCCTTTGTAGCCCGGAAGGTGGAAGAACACGAGAAAACCCTGGATCCCTCAAGTGTTCCTCGGGATTTTGTAGACTCTTTCCTTCTCAAAATGGAACAGGTAAGATGTACTGGAGTAGAGAAAGCCACAGTGGCATTTTTACCAATTTACGGACATCATGCAAAGGGTCCTGCCAACAGTGGGGGCTTCTGCTGGGGACTTCTCCAGATCACCTCTTTGGGCATGACATCACCATGCCCTTCATGCCAGTTACAAGTCATGGCCAAAAGTCTTGCCGTAGCCCATGATCCAGGCAAGCCTTCCCAAATGAATTCCGCTCTCACGACTCAAAGCATGGAAGCACCATAGGCCAGACCCCCAAGTTGCTCTCTTCAACACCCTATTCCTCCTAAATATAAAGATTAAGGGAGGTATAGTGATTGCTGTTGTAATGCTGTGGTTTGCTTTTGTTGTGATGGATGGTTTCCCCCCCCCCACCGTTCTCTTCATTCCCAGGAGAAGAACAACCCAGAGACAGAATTTACTAGAGAGAACCTCATGGTGACCATTGTTGACCTCTTCACGGCTGGAACAGAGACCACCAGCACCACCTTGAGATACCTCCTCATGGTCCTGGCGGAACACCAAGCTGTCCAAGGTTTCCCATCCAGGCATTGAATCAACTCCCTCTGTCTTTCAACTGACTAGATTTCTTCAAGGGGGTGCTTGAAGCCTAAAGTTGTATTTTTTAGCTAGCTGCCCAATACATTTGTCTGGGAACTCTCCTATTCCTTATTAACGTCGCTTCTTTTCCTCCCTGCCATCTGGAAACAACCATAGGGCTGGGTTACAGTTATTTTATGTTGGAAACCAGTTCACAGGTTAGGACTAGAGATGGGCACAAACCGCCAGCTCATCACTTCATGCTGGTTCATTTATTGGTCTGACAGGTGTTTGGCACTTCCCTGCTGTGCCTCCCCCAGCAGCTGCCCACTCAGCGGCAGCGGCCCCAACTTCCCTATGCCTGACAGAGGAGGCAGGCCTGGGAAACCGGCAGCGGCCCCAACTTCCCTAACCCACCTGCTCCGGTCACTGCCTTTGAGTGGGTGCCTGACAGAGGAGGCAGGCCTGGGAAACACCAAATATCTCTTGGGCTGATAAACGAACTGGCACAAACCTTGAATCAGGGGTTCGAGCCCATCTCAAGTTGAGATCAAATTTTTCAGTGTCCAAACCAAATGTTCTCCAAATAATATCTGAAGCATTCAATATTAAATTTGATGAGAGATATCATAATGTCAAAGCATACTATCCTGTGACAGCCCAAGGCCATTGTGGAGACCTCGGGCTTTAATGTTGCTGAAGGTCTAAGATAGAATGGATGAGATCAATAGAGGACGATGCCTTTGGTTCAGACTTCAGCTTGTATTTTAAAACAGCCAACCCAGAATCTGAGCCTTCTGTGCATGATAGGGCTCATTGTCTTGGACAGGTTATGTAAAGTTCAGACTACAAGCCACTACAGATGGCTTGTTTGCCCCACAGGGGAGATTTCCAGGAGCAATAGGGTGGCTGCCCTGTTAGGGTTTGTAGTGGAATGGGAAAGGGAGGGGTGGTTTTCATGAGGACCACAGCCTGGGAGGAAAGGCTTCATAACCCTCCACACGCACAACAGTCCCAACCCAGACAGGGAAGGTGAGGCATAGCAAGGGAGAAATTGTGTGTGGGGTGGTTTGCTCAGGCTGCTGATGGTACGTAAAACACCCTCTTTGAATTCCCTTCTAGCAAAAGTCCACGAGGAGATCGACCGAGTGGTAGGACGAGAACGGCCGCCTGCCATGAAGGACCGCCCCGAGATGCCATACACAGAAGCTGTCATCCATGAAGCTCAGCGATTGCTGAATCTTCTCCCCTTCGGGCTTGCCCGCCGGACAAGAAGGGATGTGGAACTGGAAGGCTTTACCATCCCAAAGGTACATAGAGGAAGCAGGAAGTGGTTTTCCCTGAAGGCCAAAAACTCAAAAGCATAAGGCCATCTTACATGTGCTGAAGATCAGCTCTTACGGGTTGCTTGCTAGCTCTCACCCTGATGTCTTCTCTGTTCCTTCAAACAGGGCACCTCTGTCTACTCAGTCTTGGGCTCCGCCTTGCGGGATCCCAAGCAATTCAAAACCCCGTACAAGTTTGACCCAGGGCATTTCCTGAATGAAAATGGGAGCTTCAAGAAGAACGGAGCAGACATGCCTTTTTCTTCAGGTAAGAAGTCCTGCTTTGCTGTCTTGTTGGGTAAGTTCTTGATTTAATTTCAAAAGAAAACTGAGAAAATTGAGTCTAAGAGCTCTTCCAGATGTTAAAGCTAAGGTTCCTTGGCTGATTGTTTCCAACCGACCGTCATTGTCATCCTCGTCTTCTTACCTGTCCTCGCCTTCTAAACAACCATCTCCAGGGGTGATGGGAAGGTGACCTAGGCCAGCTATGACAAGTGGCACATGCCACATTCCAGGTAATGGCCCCAGGAAGCGGTGGCAAGCACTCCACAAAGCAGGTCCTTGTGCAACACATAGAAGAGGTTTGTGGCCCTCATCCATTCCTAGATTTCCTGGTGATGAAAGCACATTGTTTCTGCAAAGGAGAATCCATGCTTCTGGTAGACTCCAGCAGTTCATCCCAAAACCAAAGCGGAGATCCTTGCTTTGATGTGCTCAAAAGACTCAGTTGCAACTGACAAGTTGTCATTGTTATTGTGGTGTTTTGTTTTTTTCAGAGAGGACATCCCATCTGCTCCCTTATGTTACTTTAAGTGGTTGTGTTGTCATTTCAGGAGGCCAGAAAAATACCAGGAAGTGCTTTCTGGAGTTCCCTCTAGTGGCCCATTCTGTTATTGCCCTTCTGATATTTGCACCTCACCAAATACAGTGATGCCCCGCAAGATGAAATTAATTCGTTCCACGAGTCATGTCGTATTGCGAAATTTTCATCTTGCGAAGCACGGCCATAGAAAAATTTGTCTTGCGAGTCACCAAAAAAATTTGCAAAACGCTTTCATCTTGCGAGTTTTTCGTTGCGCGAGGCATTCGTCTTGCAAGGCATCACTGTAGGTAGAAAAACAGAAAAGGCCAAAGTAAGAAGGCTTCCTTGTCATTTTGATAAGAGAAAGATGTTGAACTGAAAGCACTCCTGAAGTTTAAAAAATGCCCCCAAATACCCTGTCAAAGTCACGTTTGCATCTGGTGGTGGATAGAAAATATTTCTACGTTCCTTTAAAAACTACTTTCTGCTTTGGAAGAGGTAGCCGTGTTACTCTGTGCTTGTGTATAGAATAAAAACAAACTAAACATAAAGAACTAAAGAAGACAAAAATGCTATGGCAGCTTAGCATTTAGCCTTTAAGGTGCCACAATGTTTTTGTTTTCTTTATTTTTGTAAAAAAAAAATTCTTTTCTTCTTTCTTCCTGCTTGTTAACCTATTGTAATGGTTGCTATGGGTTTTTCGGACTGTTTGGCCGTGTTCTGGAGGTTTTTCTTCCTAACGTTTTGCCAGTCTCTGTGGCCGGCATCTTCAGAGGACAGGAATTAGAATTCTGTCTGTGTTCTGGTGTAGTGTGTAGGATGGTTGAGTATTTGTAGCTGTGGGATCAGGGTTTTTGTCCTTTTCAGGAGATGGAGTGTTTCCTGTGATCAGGGTGTTTTTTGTTATGGGTGTTTTGTTGTGATAAGGGAGAGAGATGATCTGTCACTGTGAAAGTCTGAAGGTCTAAACAAAGCCTGGCTCCCAGCACTGAAAAATACAGCCTACAAAAAGGTCAACAAACTCTACCCAGCCACAAGGACCAGTAATCACTGTACACAAAAGATTAGCCAATAACACCCATCACTCACAGTGACAGATCATGTTATGGGTGTTTTGTTGTGATAAGGGAGAGAGATGATCTGTCACTGTGAAAGTCTGAAGGTCTAAACAAAGCCTGGCTCCCAGCACTGAAAAATACAGCCTACAAAAAGGTCAACAAACTCTACCCAGCCACAAGGACCAGTAATCACTGTACACAAAAGATTAGCCAATAACACCCATCACTCACAGTGACAGATCATCTCTCCCCCTTATCATAACAACACACCCACAACAACAAAAAAAACACGCTGATCACCATAATCACCCAATCTCCTGAAAAGGACAAAAAGCTGATCAAAGAGCTACAAAAACTCAACTATCCCACAAAACTGCACCAGAGCACAGACAGAGTTCTGACTCCTGTCCTCTGAAGATGCCGGTCACAGAGACAGGCAAAACGTTAGGAAGAAAAACCTTAAGAACATGGCCAAACAGCCCAAAAAACCTACAACAACCATTGGATCCCAGCTGTGAAATACTTTGAGAATACAAACCTACTGTAACTTTGTGACTACAGTACCTGCTATATTACTACAGGAACAGGTAACTGCATTAAATTTACCCTGTTTCCCCGAAAATAAGACCTAACCTGAAAATAAGCCCTAGTATGATTTTTTCAGAATGCTTGTAATATAAGCCGTACCCCAAAAATAAACCCCGGCAAAGTGAAACCCCACCTTCCACCCTTGTGCAATAACCAGAAGAAGATGACACAACTGTGTTTGAAAAAATGTAGATGGTTATACATGAAAAAAGTAACGCAGCCCCTGAAAATAAGCCGTACTGTGTTTTTTGGAGCAAAAATGAATATAAGACCCTGTCTTGTTTTTTGGGAAACACAGTAATCAGTGAGTTCTAGAGTGTGTGTTGATCAGAAGGGTTATTAATTTTAAAGAAACTGCATTGACTCCCCGTTTGGGGCAGAAGTGAAAATATTTTATTTGAGCCCCCGATCTTCCCACCCATGCCCTAAATCAAAAGGGACCCCTTTAATTTGTGGCCGTCTTGAGGAGCTCTTTGTGAAATTCTTTTTCGCTTCCCTCCACAACAGGGAAAAGGAACTGCCTGGGTGAAGGACTGGCTCGGATGGAACTCTTCCTCTACACTTCCAACATCCTGCAGAGCTTCCACGTCAAGCATCCTCCAGGGGTCGCACACGTTGACCTCACTATAAAGCTCAGCAGCTTCGCCAAATTGACCTCACTATAAAGCTCAGCAGCTTCGTGAACCTGCCCCCTGAGGCCGACCTCTGCTTCTGTCCACGCTAAGCAAAAGCATCTCCTCATCTCTGGATTTGTGTGTGTGTATATATACATATACATATATATATATAAAACACTGTTACCAGTATATCTGTGAAGATTCTCAATCATCTTCTTGAGGTTATCTGGAAGAGGAGTCATGTCCCCTTCTTCCTGATTAGGTTGAAATGTTTTGCTACTCATCCAAGGAGCTTCTCCAGTCTCAGGAGAGTTGGTAGGAGATCCTCGATATCTCCTCCACCTTTGGTTTCACTTCCCCCTGGTCTAAAAAGGCTCGTTAGAAAGACAAAGGACTTGGGGGTGAGGGATAATCCCATTTCTGTAGTCCTTCTCCACCCATTGTCATCGGTTGTTAATGGTTGTTAACAACGCTATCTCTGGTGTTTGTGGTTCTACTCTTTCATCAGTCCCCCAGGAAGATTAGGACCCCACATACACACCAAAGGACTGCTGGGGGATGTTCTACTTGACAGACAGAGAACTCTGAACACATTCTTAGCCGTATCATTCTTCCCTTCTGCGACTTGGTAGCACCGATGGTTGTGTCGGCTGAAGACCTCGTTCTCTATCTGACATAGAGGCCCTCGTGGTCTTATTTTGTTGGCTCCACCTGGCTCTGAGTCAAAGGAAGTCAGGAAGTCACACCATGTCTGCTGATGACACCAAATGGAGAGTTTAGGGAATTTTTCTTACAGTTTGGCATAAATGTTTTAGGTGTAAGCTCTGTATTCTAACTCATGGGTCTGAAGAGGTGGATGATGCCCCATGAAAGCTCACATTAAAATATAGTCGTTAGCAGCCAGATTGCTAACCAAGGATGGACACAGAGATCACACAACCTCCCTGCTACAACAACTCCACTGTCTGCTGATTCATTCCTGGGCAGAATTCGAAGTGATGGTTCTAACCTGTAAAGTCCTAAACGTCTAGGGCCCAAGCTATCTCAAGTAGCACATCTTCCTTTACAAGCCTGCCCAATTGTTAAGGTCATCAAGCGAGGCCTTCCTCTCAGTCCTGTCACCTTCACAGGTGCATCTCAGGAGGACATGAGAGAGGGTCTTTTCTGTGGCTGCTCCCAGACTCTGGAACTCCCTCCCACTGGAGGCCAGGCAGCTGGCCCCATCTTTGCTGTCCTTCTGAAAGCAGGTGATGACTCTTCTCTTGAGGCGAGCTTCATTTGAGTGACTGGCTGCCTGATGGGGGTTTTTAAACAGATTGTTGTGCCTTCCTTCATAGAACGTGTTTTGGTATTGCTAATGTTTTTCAGTATTGTATTCATTAATCCTTTTAGTATTGTATACTCATTGTGACTCGCTGAAATACTGTCTTTTTAATTCTTGTAAGCTGTGCCATTTTTAAGGAGGAAGCCAATTTATAAATAAATAAATAAATAAATAAATAAATAAATATGTATGTATGTATGTATGTATGTATGTATGTATGTATGTATGTATGTATGTATGTATGTATGTATGTATGTATGTATGTATTATCGAAGGCTTTCACAGCCGGCATCTGATAGTTGAGGCAGCCTGACGGCCCAAAAATCCTACAACAACCATCAAATAAATAAATAAATAAATATCTTGATTTTCAGGTCATAACTGCAAGAACTGCTACGCGCAACAGAAAGTGTTATGTTGTTATTGCTACACAACTCCCTTCCAGGGAAATATGCATGGCACATTTCATGGTCTGTGTTCATTTTGTTGTTGTTGTTCCCTTCCTCAAAGACCAAAATGCACTGATGTGGCTATTTGACAAGGAAAGCAGAGTGCAGGTCCCACCCATCTCTCTTTGACAGCAATTTTGCTGGATTTTTGCAAGGAGGAGGATAAACAGGCTGCATGCTTCTAGCTCTGACTGTGGTTAGAGAGGAAAAACACAACACTAATTTGCTCCCACCGAGCTAAGAGTACACACACAGAAGCCTGTTAGCAAATAAATAAAGGGTAATTAATATGCCACTTATACAGATGTACAAAATACAGCATCCTAGTAAGGTTACTTTAATTCTGTTGGTTAAAAGGAAAGGAAAAAAGTTCCACTGCTAAATATCTCAGTAGCTTAGTTGAGAGTTTGATTCCTCACTGTGCCTCCCTGACAGGGGCCGGGCTCGATGATCTATAGATTCTCTTCCAGTCTAAGACTGTTATTTCTACATGTATTTCCCATACTATACCTGTGTTTAATTGGGACATAACAGTTTCATAGAGGTTCCTTGAAACTATACAAAGATTTATTCTTAGTCATTCAGCATCTCCTTATTTTGGCTCAAAAATGAGCTTTTTCCAGAAAATACTGCTAAGAGCTCCATCAGTCAAGAAGCCAAGTCTTATAGGAAAACTATAAGAACAAACCTGCTTATATATGTTTGCATATACTTGTCATCCACGAATGACTGTTGAACAACTTCTAATGACCACTATTAAGGTAATGCTGGCACCTCTCACATTTCTGTCACATTTCACATTCCAACCCACTCCCTACTTGTGCATACACATCAGTCACCTGTAGCCTCAGTTCATGCCTCTTCAGAAGGGTTTTGCAGGTCACAAAAGTTCATGCCACATAATAATTGTTAGTCTTTAAGATGCTTTAAGATGCCACGATATTCTTT